GGGGGGCAGCAGCGACGGGGTGGGAACGTAGGAACTCCTGGAAGGAGATTGCAGGCGGGCACCAGGGACTGTCAGGATGGGGCACGGCGAGGGGCAAAACCAACGAGTGCCTGTGGCCGCTGAGAGTGGTTTTGTGCTGGCTTATTCTGCACTTTGAAGTGCAGCAATGGATGGGAGCAGCGACCACGCTGTTCTCTAGAGCAGAAGGAGGAAAGGCATCGATATCTGGCACCATGTGCAGAGAAAGACTAAGGGAAGAAAGTTTCCCAATGTTGATGTCCGTAGCTGAGGTTCAGAGACTGTGTATCTTCGGTACAGATGACTTAGGAGTCAGGCTGGTATCCTGGGTAGAATTTCCTGTCAATGGAGTAATTACAGTGCTGTATTTGCATTTGTTTTATATGGCAGCAGAGAATGGCCGTTGCATTCATTGACAGCACTTTTTCACATTAGGGACCAGTCTCATCACTGGGATATGGAAACTTTCCATCATGGCAGTAAAAAGATGTTTGGCATAAATGAAATGCATTTTTGTAACCACTGATGTGTCTTTAATTATGTAGATTCCTGGGAGAATTCTGCTGAAATAAAAACCACCTCAGTTGAATAGACACAAGATCTCCAGAAGAACTGTTCATTGTAATTAATTTGCAAGTGTCTGGATCCTGTTTTTATAATAACTTTTTATTGGAGTCTGATCGTTGCCTGTTTGACCTTTGGTAGAAGCCATGTAGGTGGAGAGTACATTTTCAAATGCTCATCAACTCTGAAGTAAAAGAAGAGGACTCCTGTACTGGCTGTACAGACAGAAACAAAGAAAGTAAAGAAACGGGACCTGAAGGTAAGGACAGTGGCAAGGTCTGGTCTGTGAGGGAACGATGACGGAGGAAGTGCATTTTCCATCCTCACAAGGTATGTTCATTTGTGGAAGAGGAGAAAGTGGTTCTGCTATCTGATGAGATAGGCACCTGTGAAAGATGACAAAGAGCAGAAGGAAAGCCCAAGAGCTCGGTTTGGATAGCCAGATCTCCTGGGTTGGGGTTATGATATTACCCATTGCTGCTCTGGCTATGTGTAGTATAGGCCCAGTTCAATGCAGTTCCACAAAACTGATCACCTTTTCTGTGGTAAGACCTTTGTGGCATGGCTAGGTTGCTGTTCCGACATGGTCATAGGCGGTAGGAAGCTGTGTTTGCTGCTGGGAAGTAAGTATGTTTTCATTCTGTTCACTGGGAGGGCTTGAATCTTACTGTGTAACATACAGAAATGGTGAGAGGTCTGGCATCTTGGAAGGCTGTTGTGAAACATATCTTGGTATAAAAATATTGCCCAGTTAAGTTTGCTATATCTTTGCAGTGTAAAATGCTAATAAATACTTTGGTATTTGATAGTGTCTTATTTTTTACATCAGGATTACCTCTTCCACTGATCCACCTTCATATTCTTTCATGTAATATATCATTTCAAGATCACTCCTCTTTCTGTACTGAAAGAAAAACAGATATTCCTTGGTGGCATTGTGCGTATCTTCCTACAGAACTGTTCTCCTAATATCTGCATCCATCTGATGCATTTTTTACAGTACAGACCTGAAACCACTGCAGCTCACCATGCGTGTGCATGCTTGCTTTGTTGAATGGAGTTTGGAGTAATTACATGGTGCAGTTCTTGTCCACATTGGAGGTGAATTTTGCCTTCTTCACCTACACTGTTTAGATTTCAGGCTTGTGAGGCGTATAATACCAGGCTTTAAAAAAGAAATTAGAATGTGACTTATCTTGTGAGCAGAAATTGTAAGAAGTATTTTTGAAGTGATGAAACCAAGCTTAAGTTCTCGATATTAAAGCAAATTACAGCGCTGATTTAATAGCAAGAACCATATAAACAAAATCACTCTTGTTTACAGCAAAAAAGCCTGTAAGCAAACAGCAGACATTAACACTTCCGAAGGTGACCATGCAGTTAAGAGCAAAGGAGGAAGCAGAGAAAACAAAAAAGGATCAGCAAAACAAGTAGCAAACTGCTGTCTAGGATGAGGAAAGAAGTATAAAGTGGGACTCAAAAATCTTTTGAGAGCTGTGCTGCCACAGTAGCCTCGGAAGACAACATGCAAGGGCTCAGCAGGAGGTGAGAGCAGGCAAGGCATGCTTCTTCCAAACTCTTCCTGACACCAACAGTGTGCTCCGACACCTCTGACAGTCTTGAAAATGCTCTTCCACCACAGAGTCACTTTGTAGTGGCAACTCTTCTAGCACTCTGCTGCCCCAGATCAGAAGTCCCTTGTGGGCACTTCTTCCACCCTTGGAGCTCCAAGGGACAAGTGGAGAGCAAATAAAAATGGGGGTTCGGGTTGGTCCTGAGCCTGAGTACACTGGCAGTTTTGTTACAGTCTACGAGTTACGCTGGTTTAAAATGAGACTTTCACAGGCTTTATCGTCCCAAAAGGTGCAATTAACATGTGTGTTAGCTACGTCAAGAGGCTGACGGGGCTGATTCACCTCTTCTTTATATGTGGTGTAAGTTAGGAGTGACTGCTGAAATACACAAAAGATTCCACCTGATACATCTCTTCTAACTGAGAGAAGACAAGCTGATATTTGAAGAAAAGTAGCTATTTTAAAAAGAGAATTTTGAGGAATGTTTTGATATAATTGTATAAAATATGCTGTAACTGTGCAATATGTAATGGTTATTATCACTGTCATGATTGCATTCATCCTGAGAGCAGAGCAAAAATCTTTATAAAGGTGTAGGAAAGTATCAGTGAATGAGGAGTGTCAACTGTACCGCTGCCACAGTAGCTCTGCCTGGATGATTGACACATGGTGTGGGCCCTTCCTTTTGGACTCACTGATATGCACTATTGCCTTACGTGAGAGATGCAACATGAGTTTTTCCAGAACAGACCTATGTGAGGGCCTATCAGTTGATTTAGAAACTAGCTCAGCACCTCTCGAAATCTGGTCCTAAATCCAACATTTGGAGGAAGTTTCAACAAGTACATTTTCCAAAAAGACCCGCCGTCCTGGGAGCCTTTACCTTTAGAGTGCAGAAATGCTACAAAGTTTGCTCTGCAGTACGGGCGGGGGGGGGGTAAAAAAGGTACTGAGGTCACTTCCAGACAGCTGGTTTCAGTGAGGGGGTGGGCCACGTGGAGGTCAGGCCCACAACTCTTATAATCCAACTTGGATATCCAGCAACTGTCTCTGGTTGGATATGCAGTAGTGACGTACAGCGTCGGATTTGAATGCTCTATATCACTGCTCGGTTGAGCAAAAATGTGAATGGCTGCAGTCAGCTGGTGTTCAGTACAGGTGGAGTTGACTCTTCAACCTGAAGAAAAATGTTTGTAACACAGATCTTGGAAGTATATGTACTAAGCACAGAAATGCTTAGGCAGGAGGCCTTAGCGTTCAGGTTACAGTCCGAAAAGTTAGCAAGTTCTGCAATAGCTGTGCAATAGCCACTGTAATTCAGAATCAAATGACGTTTTCAGAACATTTGTTTTTCACCTTTCTTTTTCTTATTTTTCCTAGTCGCAGTGGTGGATAGTGGGGAGAAGAGGACATGGATAACCACATAAATCACTGCAGAGATGTGATTTATAAAAGCCCTCTGATACCCTCAACTGGGACTGAAGGCTCTCTCAGGGCAGTGCCGGTCTGGTCCGCCTGGTGGCAAACTGCATTCACTGGAAGCGCTTCTCCATGTAGAAGGTTTGGAAACAGCAAGTGTACTCACAAGCAACGCTGGGATTTCAAAGTGCAATCTCATGTTTGTGCAGTTGCAAGTTTTCAGAGACCTGCTCATCCCTCTAGAATAGCAACATTTCCTCCATCAGATATCGATGGGGGCAGTGTCTTAACAAATGCAGAGATGGTGCTGCCGAGACAGCGCCTGTGTCTCAAACTTCTCAGAGTTTCGGGGGGATGCTTCATCTTCTCCCTGTAGTCCTGAAACTGCCGAAATCAATATTCTGCCATCTGTAAATCCTTTGTTCCCCTTTTCACCATGGCTTTATCAGCTTTGTAAGCGAAGGAGGGAGGGGGAAAAGGGCATTCAGAGAGCCATTGTCCCTTCTCTGGGGAATGATCTGGAAGCACTATGCAAATCTTTATTTGAAGACCCTGGGAACTGGGGGAGGGCTTTAGCTGCGAGCTCTGTAGGAGGGGAGCTCTGTATCCCTGCTCACGCACTGCTGCCTGCTGCAAGTAGCTGGGAAGAGTTGTTTAGAACTGGCAGAAGAGGCATTTTGCACTTTGTGCACTTCTATGAGGCTTTGCGCTCCTTACACCTCCTGCTTTGTGCATTTTTCTGCCTGCCCCTTCTAAATTCTTGCGTGAGAATTGGATAGGGGAGAGATTTCAGAGCTGTGTTTAGTAATTATGAAATCAGAGCAGCGGAGTGTGCACCCCTCTAGCCTCCCTGCTTTGCACACTTCCAGGCTTTGCCTGGAAGTCTCCCACCAAGCTGTCACGCAGCTCCACCAGTGCTAGCGTAAGTGCCAGTACGTATAGCCTGGCTGCTGGCATGAACCTAGGCCACAGACACAGACAGTTTCAGTAAGCAAATGATTCAGCTCCTCAGGAGTGATGGGGTAAAATAGTTGGGAGTTCTCAAATTATAGCACTGCAGCCAAGTCTTAAAAAGCCTCCTCTTATCGGGGCAAAGACTCACAGTCCAGTACGTGCTTTATGAAACCCTGCAGTCTGTCCTGGCTTGGCTCAGAGCTCTGCATCACCTGTTTTGTATTAGGACAGGGTCACACTAGCTGCCAGTTTCCTGGAAACTGTGTAGGGTCCTTCTTAGGCCTCATGGAAAGGGAAATATCCTGGCTGCATAGGCACATGGGTGAACAAGACAGTGGGGGAGGGAGCATGCAGATTCACATCTGGGCATTTTTGTCCTGACAAGCTCCTGTAAAGGCAGCCGCAGTCGTTCTGATTTTCTGACCTTCGTTTTCTCTCATAGCAGTAGTCCCACTGTTTACTTTGCAAACTCTGGGGCTGTTCTGTTTTCCAACAAACTGTAAAAATGACTTCAAACAATGACAGCCCTGGAAAGCCCAACACTGTTTTCTCTCCTGGGCCACTGAGAAGATGATGCCTCTTACAACTCTTGTTTTCAAAGTTACAGGAATACATGCCATGAGACCTATTTCTCCATTACCTTCCACCTTATATCCAAAGCAGTGTAAAACGCTACCATTTTGATCTGCTAGTGCTACTTTAGTCCTTTGCAGATCGAAAAGACTGTATCCCAAGCATATATATGCATGAGTATATACACGAGGTCTAAATCATTTTTTTCCAGTGTAAATCTAGAGTGACTCAGCTGACTTTGGTGAGCATGCCCTGGAACTGTACTAGCTAGAAATTAGTCTGTATGTGCCCTCTTGCTCCTGCAAGTGCTCCTGCTACCTGTGCACAATCACACATCCCTGTAGATGCTTTTCCAAGTACAGTTGTTTGCATGCACGCTGGTGCACGAATGCATGTTCTTCTCACCCACTCGTCACATATGCATGCAGACACACGCGCGCGCGCACACACACGCACACACACGCGTTCTCAGTGCACACATCCATTCCCTTTCTCTCATACACATTTGCACACATACACAGACCTTTTTGAAAGCTCCTGTTTTCAGAAAGGTTTTATTTATAGGTCCTGCCTGGTTGTGAATGTGAAAGGGAGAAAGCCCCTCAGAGGGTTCCTTTCATGTGTAAATCAGCCTGGGCTGAGAGCTTTGGGGTCACTGAGAGGAGGATTTCACTCTTAATTACTCAGAGAGAAAGCAGGCAGGGGACTTTCTCAAACTAATAATGTTGTTCTCTGCTGGGGAAAGCAGCTTGAGATGCCGGAGTTTCTCTTGCATCAGACGTCGGGCTCTGATTCGCAGGCCTCTGCCAGCAGCAGGGTTGATGTGTATGTGGCGCTTGGAAGAAACACGATCAGCTTCCAAATTGGCTTACTCACATATTGGGGATGATAACGTTCATTCTCATAACTGGGTGTTCTTTGGAGGCCAGTGGAGGAGCTGAGCTAGTTTGATTGACTTTATACCACTTTTATTGAAAAATTATGTTAGTCTGTGCTGCACATACTTGTGACTGCATCTGAGGACCACAAAATTCTTCCAGACATACCTGAAAGCTCCCAGTTCTCTGCAAAGTAGAAAAATGTTATTGTCTAGAGGTTAGTCCAATGAGCAAGGCTCTGAACTTGGACTTAAAAACAGCACTGAATTCCCAGTTTGGCCACACAATGCCTTTGTGACCTTTGACAAGAGGTTGGCTACCCTGTTCCTAGCTGTGGAAAGGGGCATAATGTCTCCAGAATGGGAACGTTAAGAACACAAGCCAGGATTGTGATACTCTCGGTAATAAGGCTGTGAGAGCGCTGAGATAAATAGGGGTGATAAGCATATCTGAAGAGCTATGGCTTTTTTTTTTTTTTTTGAATGCACTACCAGCACATAGGTTCCTGTGCTGATGTATCATTATCACCTTTGTTTCATTGATATTTTCAAAACTGACTTCAGAAGTCTCCTGCAAAGACAGGAATACTCAGGGCACGAGCCACCCAGTTCTGTACAGGAATCGTAGGACCTGCTTGTGCAACCACGCATTAATATGAAGTACAGCCACAAAGTGCAGCTGTCGGCAGTTGCAGAGAAGAGATCCACTGTGTTGTTCAGTGTGCGTGCACACACAAGCAAGTGTATTTTTTAACGTTGGTTGGCTCGGTTAAAACTACATCCTTTCATTTGAATGTTGTTTTCACATGGCCTCCGCTTTTTTAGTTAAGAAATAAACGCTGCAAGGGCTGACAAATTTCAAGCTATTCAGAAACAGCCCCACTGAAGCCCTGATACAATGTTCTTGAAGTTACGTTACTTAAGCTTGCCTGGGAAGGCTGAGGTTTTTGTCTGGGACCACCTGTTTGAGGAAGGTAGCAGTAGCGGTGGGTCGGAGCCATCAGCAGATGAGGTCAGCACTCTGAAGTGTCTGCAGAGGTCAGAGAGAAATGAATGGGTCATTTCTCTTGCAAATGAAGAGCAGCAGCCTGGAGCAGCCTTAGCAGAGCCCAGCATGTGGGTCCAGGCTGTTCCTTTTATGAGCTGATGGAAATGGGGCCCGAACGGACTTCCCTGATGGGGTTCTGTCACAGCCTTTGTTGTCACAGCCTCCCACAGCATGCACCAGGCAGGGAATATGGATTCGGGGTTATCCTGGCTATCCGCACAGAGTCAAGAGAATAAGGGCTTTACAGCTGCATAGAAGACACTGTATCCTTATTGCCATTCCACAAGGAGAACCTTGCTTTAAGATGTAGAACACATGTTTTTGTCTGCCTTAGTGCTCCTTTTTACCCAACACTCATTAAAGTGAGTAAATCCAAGGGCTCTCTTAAAATAATGCATATAACTGAGTAGCGAGGATTAAGAAGCCTGGATTCGAGTCTTGATTCTGATGGTAAATTATCAGTTACCTTGAAAAAGTCCTATGAATGCTTTATGCCTCAGTTTTCCTGCAAAATACTGAATAATCGTATGTACTGTAATAATACTATAAAAATACTGGATAATAGTAATTTTTCTAAAACATTTTGAGGACTTTGGGTACAGAATACTTTATGCAAAGTTTTGCTAATAAGCTAAGCATTTAAGTAGCACGTTCTGTCAGTGAAATAACTATTTTTGTCTGTTTTTTGTGCAGCAGTGTTTTTTCTCCAAATTGTTAATTTAGAATTAATTTTATGCCATATAGGCAATGTCAGTTCTGTCTTGCCATTTGCTCCTTTTGCTTCTTTGCAGACCATCGCAGAACTTCTCTTGCTGTGACAGTGTAATGGGAGGTGGAGACACCTCGAGGAGAAGGTCAAAAGAGACAACAGCAATTATAGTCAATCACATCAGTGACCTGAGAAAATCAGGCCCCAATATATGCTTACATGTGATCTGTCTACGCCACCTTTCCTATGTACAGGTATTTAAAACAAGGCAGGACATGGGAGTAACAGTTTCCCTTGGAGGAGTGCTAGGAACAGTGTTCCACAGCCTCAGATAGAGCAGGGCAGGGTGGGAGTTTTAAGGGAAAAGTGGGTAAGGCTGGAGTAACTGTGCTCTGGCTTTTTCTCACTGCTGTAATGTTCCAACAGAGGCCATGGCAAGCAGCTGGAAGTTAGAATAATCCTGGCTGTGCCAGAGCTTGCACCAGAGAGGAAAATGGACTTAGGTTTACATTTCGTTTTTCATCTCCTGCTATGTGCAAGGATTGTTTTTTATGGCGTTTATCTGCGTTTTCCTTAGAAACCTCAGGAGGACTGTCCACCCTTCAAAATCTGTTAGGATGTATTTTAACTGCGTGATATCGGAGCCCAGCCGCTCTTGGTGGGTTGCAGAAAGAGGACATATAATCACAATACATCTTCAGAGGCGTAAGTGTGTTCTTTATTTTCTAGAAACAACCAAGTTTAAACTACTTTGTGTAGGAGGAGCTAAAAGAGAAGATGGATGTTTCTAAGGGCTTGGGGACAGTTTCACATTTGGGGTGAGGCTGGGGTTCTCAATGGAGGCCTGTGTCCAGGCAGTAATTTGACAGCAGACATGGGTACACAGTAATGCAGGCTCTGGAAATCACAGAAGCCTGCTGAGTTATTGTGAGCTGGAGGAGCCTTTCTGTTTGTGGGCGCATGGGTCTGTCTGCCTCACATTGTGAAGACGTAACTGAGACATAAAGGAGGCTGGCAAGTTGCAGAACACTGATGGAAGGGAGGACAACAGGCAGAAGAGGAAAAAGAGTTTGTGGGCAAAGGGCTCAGGCCTCGTTGTGAATTCCTAGCAAGTAGCTGGTCTTTAAATAAAAACGTTTTTTAAGTAATGAACTGATAAAATGTGAGAGACAGATAAATATCTGTAAAGGTTTTTGCACCCTATTTGCAGTACGATTGCAGGAGATGTTAACAGAGAAAGCGCTTTTACTTACTACCAAGGTGTGTTTTTATTTATATACCTAAACTATATAGGGCAGTCTGTATAGAGCACATCACAGAAAGTGAGATGCAAGTGACACTATGGGGTATGGGCATATAACGGCCCCACAGATTAAGACTAATTGCAAAGAAGGCACAAGAGCCGGGCAGTTGTAACTTACTTTCCTTCTTGCAGCACCCCTCACACCGCAAGCATCATTGGTGGATTACCCAGGGCCTTCCATTAGCAACACTTTGCTGTACCTGGCCAGTGGTCTATATCTCCTGTCCCACGGGCCCACCCTGTGACAACCTGGGCAATACACCCTGCTCAGTACCTCCACTACAAGTAATGTGTTCTTGGACACTACATTGTTCTTATGTCATTGCACTAGGACCTCAGTAACATGGTGTAGTTGCTTGCTTGCACTCAGTAGTGGCTGTAATTGGACTGCACACCTGTGCTGTGCCCATTGCTGAACTGGGGGACGCGAGACGTTCCACCGAGCACAACGAGCAGCTCCTCTCTTGTCAGCACGTATCCTCTTTTTGTGTCTGCTAGCAAATATAACAGGCTTTGTGTGGCAGGTTTGTAGGCAGCCCGCCCCCATGCTCCCTGTACCCTACCATAGCTCTAGCTGCTCCACAGGGTTGTAGTATTTTAGATTGGTGCCTCATTTCCACTTTTCTAAACTTTCAAAAGCCAGTTCTTGAGTCTTGAACCATTCCCATAATGCAGCCTTGTGAGTTAATTGCCAAGGACTCACAAGTTGCTGATAGATGTGTGCAGAAACTAGCAACGTAGTTGGTCGTTCCTGTAAATCATTAGACTCTTCATACATTTCAGTCTGGGCTTTTTCTTAAAAGCCCTCTCCCAAACTGGGCACAAGACAATGGACGTCAGCAGGCACAGCTCCCAGTGACTAGGATATTGTCACATATCCAAAAGCCTGGTGGGAGAGGAGCAGACATAGGCTTGAATTCATCCTGGCAGGGAGATACGGCTGAGAGGAGGAGGAAGAGAAGAAGGTCAGAGGCAGCTTCAAGGAAATGGCTTTGGTTTAAAATGTTTCATTAGAGTTTGCAGACTGGAAATATAAAGTACAGAAATATTATTGCTTGGCAGAGGAATGACATTTATTAACAATACCGGATGCTTTCAGTACTCTGTGCAGAAAGAGACAAAATATATCACTAGCCAGCTTAACAGAATTACAAGTCCCTGTTGTAAATGTGATTTTTTTTCTAAAATAGCTCACATAATCTGGGAATATTTTTTTCATCAATACTAGTAACAGACTTTTTTTTTGCAGTGTACCATTTCCTTCTGCTACAGTGACAGAACCTTTGCAGGGCAGACTAACTTTATCTAAGCAGAGTATCAGCGTCGGTCCAGCTGGGAACGCTATTGGGATACTCACCTCACGTTGTTTCCCTTCCTTTCTGTTTGTCTTTGATTTTTCCCGTTGTAACTCAGTAAGATAATCGCGGTCACCCTTTCCCAAAGGGCTAGTCTTTGCCCTGTTGATCTGACAAGCTCCTTTTCTGAAGATGGTTCACACCTGCCACTTGAGCTTTGTTGCCTCAGGATGTTTTTCCTCCTCATGCAGGCAAGCATTGGGATTTGGCTTGGCGTGCATACCTGCAAGATCTGGCCAATGCAGGGTTATGGCAAATGTCACCAGTGAGGATGCAGGAAAAGGGATGCCAGTATGTCCAGTCTGCTTTCTTCTTTTGGGCCATAGCTTGGCCAAAGTACTGAACTGTTGAAATGTCACAGAGGAATATGTAGTGTGGATGGGTTTTTCATGGGAAGCCAGAATTGGTTTACATTTGTTTTTTCTGTTTTAAGTTAGAGGTGAAAAACTTGGAGAGGCTTTGCCTTTACATCCCAGAGGCAACTTTGCAAATACTCTGGCTTAAAAAGAGGTGTTTCCCAGCAGGCTGGCAAAACAAAAGCACGCATATAGTGCCCTACAAAGGTCATTCCTGACCAGAACCTGAAACAGCTGAAGTACAGATTGTCAGTCTCCTACTCGGCCAACCCCTGTGGCATTTTTGTACCCACAGTGTTTTTGTTTTGTTTTGTCCGCATTTCAAATAATTTTTATGTTCTTCACTGACTCTGCTGGGCAGCGTGTTGTCAGGGCCCTGTGTGCGGCAGCTGACTCTGCAGGCTCTTGCCCCTCTCCTATGGATTTGGCTACCTGTGTTCAAGACCTGCTGTGATATGGTGCAGTGTAACCTGGGATGAGAGTGCTGCGAAAACAGCAGTGAGAAGTCTCGTCAGGGGCCTTCCCCAGGGCTCTGCCACTTTTTTGGGAGCTGCGGCACAGAGCTGCCCTTGCCCCTGTTGCTTACCTGAGGTGGCTGTAGGTATGCCTGTGCCTGGCCGTGGGCCTTGCTGATCCTAATCCTAGCTCACTGACTTGACTTTCTAGCCTGGCCTCGGACCTGGCTCGTCACTACAGGCTTGTCTGATGGCCGCTGGACTCTTGGCTGAACCTGCTTACTGTCATCGGACCTGCTCAGCTCTTGCTCAGGCACGGTGGTACTGCACTCCTTGTCAGCGAGTTCTCTGTCCCTACCTGCCTCGCTGCCACCCTCGGCCCCGCTCACCTTCACTCCTGGTGTTCCCCAAGCTCGTCTGCAGCTGCCCCGCTGCCCTGCTCCCTGTGTTGTCCCCAGCCTTCTAGACCCAGCATCTCTGTCTGTTTATAATGTTAGAGAGTAAATGGGTGGCAATACAAGACACATTGTGGGATCAAGCTGGTTTACTGCTATGACAAGTAAGACCTGGCATTAGCTTTGCTCCTTTTATTTCCAGCTTCCTAAAAAGAGAAAATAAAAATCGGGTCTGCTGGCAAGGGCTAGGACTACTAAGAAAACAGCCAGCAGGAGGAGCTCTCTAGACATCTCGCTTGATCATTTTTCAGTCGGTCATAGCTGCATGTTTCAAGGCCATCACTTTAGAGCCACTTTCTTCGACTTCCTTGCAGACAAACTAGGAGCAGCAGAAGACACAGGCAGCTTCCTGGAATTGCAGCTGAGCAGCTCCAGTGATTTTTCGGAGACTTCTCGGGTTCCTTTTTCCACAGTTGTTCATTCAGAAACTTCAAGTGTTCGTGAAAATGTTTGGGCTTCCTTTTGGCCCCTTCCAGGTGTTTTATCTACCAAGGAAGCGAATGTAAGATTTTATGGGCAGCATCCTAACCACAAAGTAAAGAATTCCAAAGTGGTGTTTGCCTTTGCAAAGAACCTGCTGGATTCCTCACAATTTCACAAGGGGACCTCTAAGCAAAGAAGCTCCAAAATGTATTAGCACCACTCTGAATATTGGTCTTACAAAGCTATTCAAATAATTCTGCCTCCTTGTATATAGTTCATCTTTTTATTCTGTGAGAAGCAGGTCTGGGGGACAGTAATTGTACTCCCTTGCACAGTACTGTGTTCACATTAGGTACAAAGTCTCACCCTACTTCTCAGACCCAGGCCCGCAGCCCTGGATTGCCTGGGCCCCACGACCATGTCTCTTCACTGGCTCTTGAAAAGAATTCAGATTTTTTTATGTGGTGGGCCCTGTGTTTTTGTAAATCTGGCCCTCATTTTGTTATCTAACTGGGAACTAGGTGCTTTCTGTTCTTGAAGGTTGCTGCAATAATTATTTTGATCCTGAATGAGCCAGAAACTATTCTAATGCATATCAGTGTAAATTAAGTCAATAGAGAGTCTTCAAATTTATCCTGGTGTTCAGAGAATGGAATTCATGCACTTCAATTTACAGCTTATTAAGTGATCAGAATTAATGAACTCGCAACAACCTTTTCTATTCTTGTTTACACGTTTTCTTCCTATTCACTCATAATGTACATCGCTTAGAAAAAGCAGAGAGTTGAAAAGGCAGTGTGTGGGTCAGATATGTCCCATGGAGCACAGCATTGTGCTTCAAGGCTTTAATCACATTTGCAAAGTGACTGTGTAGAAATGGCACCTTCTGACTGAGTTGAGCAGTAGTCTGTGCATTCTGATTTGGATCTGCTGACCATGAGGGGAGAGAAGCAAACATTTTGCTCCTTTTTACTGCTGTTAACATGGCATAGGAATGAGAGAGTTGGTTTCAGAAACAAAGCCAAATGCTGCCCTTGGTTCCTTCTGTGCAACCAGTAAGAGAATGTGCCCTGCAGAATCTTTATCAGTGCTAGTGATGCGCAGAAACCCACCCTGATTTTCAGAACCCCATTTCTATTCTGGAAGCTAGAAAAATATTTGCCCTGAGGAACAGAGATGTTCTTCAGAATCGCTGGAGAACAATGGCTATAGAACAACTCTTCTGCTTTTTGAGAGTCATTTTTCACTGCGGTGCCGTATTTCAGTCTGGAGATTGGGAATATTGGAAGCTATAGGATCTGCCTTTCCTTTTATTCTGAGATTTGGAAGTCATATAGGATGACACCAGGAAAACCTCA